CCAGCCGCTGTTGTCAAGGAGAGACATGAATAAGGTGTTTCTGCTGCCAGTTCTTGTGAAACCTGGACAAACATAATGTCCTTGGGACCTCGCCCTCTCTGTCAGATTTTTTGAAATTGATAAATGGGTTTAAATGTTTTTAGGGAAGGAGACAGACATATGCGAACATACAACGTGGCTGCAAAAAACACATATTTCCTTAGAAAATCAAGCTAGGAACATATTTCTGCATTCTTTTCTCCCTTAGCGTTTAGCATCTACCTGAGTCACATTTTCACATTTCACAGGGTTTTTGTTTTTGTTTTTTTTTTCTTCTATTTCTGGTTTGCTTGCTTGCTTTTGCAGTCACTGAGGCTTCTCTTTTTAATTATCTCATGTCTCCAGAAGCTGCAGTTTTAAGATAAAGATCATACAATAATGACAGTCAGCAACACTGCGTTAATGAAAAACAACGGGTACGTCCCTGAGAGTAACCGGTACTTCGAGATGTTTTGTCCATGAGGATCCCAGCGTGTCTTACGTGCTGGAGACACAAGCACACTAAAAGTGGGACTCTCCCAGACAAAAGCTGGGAGAAGTGAATGACAATGTGTTTATCTGCCTGTCTTGTGAGCCTGGATAGTTTCCCTCCTGGCATTTTTCTTCAGCCACTGTGCAAAGGGAAGGGGGTTGCTATAAGCTCCAAGGGTCCGGTCCCCTTTGGGCGACCGCCCATACACAAGAGAGTCCAGCAGTAGGAGGACGCTCGCTCAGTGAACATGAGAGTCTGCTGGCTCCTGAGAGTGTCTCTGCACAAATGCAAGAGTTTTGCGTTTGTTATACCTGCACAGATGGATTTTTACTCCCTTGATTACAGTAAAATTACACACGTATAGAGGAATCTCCTGCCAGACTCTCCCCTGCTAGCAGATAAGATGATTTCAGAGCAGTAGACCAAATAAGCTCAACCTGAGCCACTTTGTGAGGAATGGCCACACCTGAACTTCCTGATTTCTGGTCTTCCAATTTTTTTTCTAGCTAGAAAAATGTACACTAGTCCATCTGCCTGACCTCCAGGGGCTGTCTGGCCCCAGCCTTACGAATTATTGCTGAAGAGCTGCTCACTAGAGCCGAAAGGGCCGCAAATGAGTCATTTTTGTCCCAGCAAGTCGGCGTCAAACTAACTTGTAGGAGCAGACTCCTGCAACACTTTTACAAGATGTTTCCTTCGGCAAGTTTTGCCCTTCTCCAGACTCGAGGTGCCCAGCTAGCTCAGCCCACGTTGTTGGGCCCACACTAGCAGGCATCCGCATCATCCCCTCTCTCCTTCCTCTCTGCAGATCTGGTGAGCAGCTATTCCATGACCCCCCCTACTCTTAGCATCACCGAAGAGGAGCACATCATCAATTCTGGGGACATACTGACCATCACCTGCAGGTAAGGCATCAGCCAGGGTAGCTTTGCCCAGACTGCTTTTACCTGGTAAGTATTGGAGAATCAGGCAAGGAGAGCCCATCAGGGGAGACCTTAGCTCCAGGACAGCTGCACATTAGGATAGCTGGTTACAAATCTACCACATTAACTAAGTGTGAATTCATCTAATTAATTAATTGAAAAAAGCTGGAAAAGTCTCTAAGGAGATGGTGATAACCTCTGCTGTAGTCTTACAGGCAAAAAGAAGAGGGAGAAACATTTGCCTGATCTGACAGGGTCTTTGTAATGTTTTTTTTTTTTTTTTTTTTTTTTTTTGGGGAAATTGGCTTCCTAAGTCTCCTTGTCTTTTTCTCATGTTGCTTGTTCTTGCTTCATCAAGGGCTGTTAGTGTTGCTAGTATGATAGTTCTGGTTTTCTCAGCCTGGCTGGTCATTTGGGGATGTGGAGAAATAGTGATCAGAAAAGGAAAGGCTGTAGCCAGCGGTGGCTGTGAGAGGCTGAGAGGTTTTCTAGGAAGCTGGGGTTTGATGCTCTGCTTTGCACAAATAGGGGTGAGCAGAAACCCCGGATAGGTCCAGTGAATAACTGTGAGAGGAGTGGAGGAATCGCCTGGTCTTTTAAAGACTGTGGGTCTGAGAAGAGGGTATCTAAACTGATTTGTAAAGCCAAGTGCTCCAGTCTGGGGTGTGTTCTCTGTCGTACCCTCATCTTGGAAAAACTAGGGAATTGAGCAATGCTTTCCCATTAAATCTAGGGGTGTTCCTCCAGCAGTTTAAAGTGGATTTATGCCTAGGATCTGAGTTCCAGTATCCAGGGGGATATCCATTCAGTATGGGGCTCAAATGGGTATTTTTCAGTATAGTAGGAAACCATGAAGCAACAACTGCAAATGTTTGGCTGGCACTGGGTTTATGTCTTGACCGAAACATGTGTAGCTTTTCTTGGAATAGACTGCATTGCTCTCACTTTGTGAATCAGTTCATAGCCCGCAGACAGGGATAGAGAAGAGGTTGTTGATGGCTGTACTGAACTGACTTCACTTGGTCTTAGAAGCTAAGCAATTGTGGGTTTGTTCATATGATGATCTGAGGAGCCATGGTGTGTGCTAGACCACAGGAAATGCATGAGCCGGAGGACTCTGGTCAGTCCTGTAGTTGCTGCAGGAGCATAAAGGAGGAGGAGGGAGTTCAGGGACTCCAGTGCTCTGCTGTGGCGATTCCCTCTGCAGAGGGACACAGGACCTGATGCGCTCTGAAATCTTCATAGGAGAGACTCAACAGAATTATTCTAAACAAGCTTACAATCACACCACTATCTTTCTCAGCAGCGGCACAGGGAGCGACACAAGAAGTGGTTTAAAGAGCGTGGGAGAGGCTTGCACTGCCCGTGCCTGCACTGCGCTCTACGCAGGTGCTAGGGGACTGTCAAGCCAGCAGCCTCTGCCTTGGGGAGGCTGCAGCAGCACAGGCAAGTTGCCCGCTGCCCTGGAGTCCCTAGACCACCTGGCAGCCAGTTCCCCGTTCCTGCTGCAGAGCCACAGTTTGTCTTTCAAGCTCATTAGGGTGAGCATGCCAGCATGGACATGGCAGAGGTAAAGGTGGAACATCTTTACCCAAGGCTCCCAGGTGCTGTGCGGGAGAGCTTGCCAGCCAAAGAACAGGAACACCATCTGCAAACACCACTGCAGCCCCTGAACCCTCCTTGAGGTTACAGTGCTCTGTCCACATGCTGCCTGGCTGCCCGCTGCCACTGTACCCCGCTACCCTAGATGTGCTCTTCTGGGATTGTTCAGTGTTCTTCAGACCACCCGCAACTAGCCAAGTACCTCTGGAGCATCTTTTCAGCACCTCCGGCATGGCTCAGAGGTTCTCCTTCTTTCTCTGTGCTCTCAAGCTTATGTTTCTCTAATGTCTCGAGGAGAGAATTTTGCCCCGGGACCCTAGTAGTTCATTTGAACGAAGAGTAAATCTTCTGTGGTCCCTAGATCTCTGATTACACCCAGCTGCATCTCCAACCTCTTCTCTGGACCATGGCCCACCCTGGGAAGACCTGGCTTGAGTTAATGGGAGCTGAAGGGAAAAACATGCAGACCACCAAGAGAAAAGGCAAAGGAGAGGTGGTGGGGCAGGGCAGGGCAGAATCGACTGTGAAATCAAATCCAGGGTCCAGGGCTCCCTGCTGAGCATCATGTTGGAGATGGCTTCAGTTTGACCCTGCTCTTCCCTTGAGAACTCTGTCCTCTGGCTGCTCTTTGAGCTGCCCTGGAGCCAGTAGTACAGACCTGCTCGAAGCAGTGCTGCCGCAGGAAGCTGAGCCCAAAACCCCCCACGTGAGACTCCCTGGAGACCTTTCAAACTTCACCCGCCAAGTGTGGGACTCCCGCAGCCAGCTGTGCTCTCAGGCTCCCTGACAGCCAGGGCTGGATCTCCCACGTGTGCAGCGCTGCAGCTCCTGTCTTGCTCTGCTGTCCATCCAGCCTTGTTGATGATCAGAGCCCGTGCCAGGCTGTGGAATAAGAGATGCTTCTGGCACACAGGAGCTGGGCATGCTCAATGGAGAGCCAAAGACATAGCATAGCCATGAACCACCCAGTGCTGGGTCTCTGCTTTTGCAAATAGCTGGACATACAGGCAGGTTCCTATGTCACCCAACATATTGAGTCCTGGAGAGGTCCAAAGAGGGACCTACATGAAGCATTCCCCAAAATATGGATCAGGCTGGAGCTGGCTGAGAGCCTCAGTGATGTTTTGATCTAAATGTGTGGCAGAGCAGGGAGAAGGGGCTGACGCCCCCATGCACAGTGCATCTTTTACTAGCTCCCATCCTGAAAAGGAAGGAAAGAATACTGTGGATCTCTGCATTCATGCCCTCGGCAGCCTGTGCCGGAGGGGAAGTGGAGAGCTTGTGCTGTTCTGGCTCATGAATATTGGAGCAGAGCCCACATGAGCTGACTGCACAACAGCAGAAACCTTCAAAGGGGAGGACGTGGACCTGGCTGTGCCAACCAGGCTCCAGCCATCCTGTTCTGCAGGTGCTGGGCACTGAGGTGGAGAGACGGGCGTCATCCAGCGTGGCATTTAGAAAGGAAAGGGCAAGGTTGTCCTTTACTGCTCAATGACTTGTTAATAGTGCTGATTTGCAGATGCTTGCGGCTGCACAAGCCCTGTTCTGGCAGAAAGGAAGTATTTGACCCCAGAGCTCTCTTGGCTGCTGAGGAGGAAATGAGTGCTGTAGCGGGGCCGAAAGAACTGAAGGACAAGGTAAAGCCCCCTCACAGCTACTCTGGGGCAGCATCCAGGGACACACTGTAGTACCCCGCTGCATTTTCCTACACCACATGTGACTGCACCAAACATCCTCCTGGTGCTGGGGAGGGATCTGTCTTATCCCAGCCAAGCCATAAAGCCACAGACGGCTTAACCCGTCATATCATGCTTGGGAGCTTCAAAGAGGATTGAAGAAAAGTGGTGCCAATTGCCCTGTCTCCCTTGAAGAGCATCTGTCCTGAGAAGCTTTAGGAAAACAGCTGTGGAGAAGCCTATGGTGCATCTGTTTCCATTTGGCATCAACAGGCTCCATTGCCCAGCGAAATACTACCACTGAGCTGAAAGAAAACAACTTGGGAACGGATCTCAAAGGTGACAGATAGGAGGAAGGGAACCACCCAAAACTGCTGCCTGGACTTTTTCCCAAATACAAAGAGTAGATCTGGAGATAAATCCGAGACAGCATGGCCTGCTTTCATCTCTGCCTTCTTCTGGTCCCTTTAACGCACCAACGGCGCTAACTTGTGTCCAAGTTAGAATTGAGTCCCTCCTGTGTCCATGCTGAATTTGGTTGAGCACTGCATGATGTAGGGAACACCTTAGTTAAGAGCTGCCCATGGGCTGGTCATCAGGTCTGTTTATGTTGGCCCATCTCTGAGCCGTGTTTATATAAATACGTGTCACTCAGCTACTGCTAGCCTTGATGGTTAGTAAAACAAGTGGATCTGATAATGCGTGAAAATCCCAGTGGGTAAACAAACAGAAAGCGGAAACGCTGGAGACTCGTACAATTACCCTGTTCCACATGGAATGCTGAAAACGCCTGCACAAATGCAAGGGGCTTTGGGGCTCTCCTGCGCGGCTGGGGCCCTCGGCTCTGGTTCAAGAGAGGGGCCGGCCATGGTCTGCACCCTGTGCAGCGGGGCCATGGGCACAGCGGCAAAGGGCATGAGCAGAGGCCACTGCGTGATCGGTTTGGCGATGAGATTTACTAATGCTTTCCGCGTACATGCATACGATGGGAACAACTGAAAATCCAAGAGTCCTCTTTTTATTAAAGTGTTTGTGAGACTATGATCCTTTGAAAAAGCCCCCTGTGACTCATGGAGACAAGCTGCCAGAGCTGCTGTTTTAGTCCTGCCTCGGGCACTGGCGGGATTTTTAGTGCATGCAGACAAGCGAGGCAGGTCAGAGGGGCTGCGTGGTTGTCCTCAGGGACACGTCACCGCTGCAGAGCCCTTGTGGCTGGTGATGCAGGAGGAGCATAGTGCAGAGCCTCCAAGCTCATCCACACGAGCTCAGTGGCAAGCCGGAGGAGCTGGAAGAGAGCGAAATCTGCAGGAAGGCAAATCGTCTGCTAAAGACAAACACAAAGGGGCAGGTCTTCCCCCCGCGCTTGGACAGAAATCCTGTCCTCGCTGTGTCTGAGCAGATCTTTCATTGTGCCCTGTGATGGCACCTTATCTCACTTCCTCCTTGCTGTCCCCAGCTATCTGTGACAGTTGTGGCCTGGCTGCGCTTAAAATCGTCTGCCCATCAAGCTGCCCTGGCAGTCCCCTGCCAGAGGCACTGCTTATGCCAACATGCATATGAGATGTGCTGCCGTCTTTTGCGATGTCTTCTTTTTTTCCATTTCTGTTTTTGTACATTCTTAAGTGACTTTCAGCTACGCTGGCAAACTTTCAAATGTGGACTAGGCCCTTCTCTGAAAGGGGCTCTGATTTCACAGAGGGAAACTTTCAGCATGGAATAAAAGCTTGTTTTATTTGTAGTAAACAAGTGCGGTTATTTCAAGCTATGATAGAGCGTGTGCGTACATGTGCATAGGCGAGTCTCCAGCTCTGGAGATCCTCAGCTATATATAAATGCACACGTGCACGCTCCGTCTGGAGGGTTCTTCCAGTTCCTGGGCTTTTCTGCCTGCGAGGCCGGGGATGAGGCTCTGCAGTCGCCCTCCGTCGGAGGGATACGTGCAGCTCAGCGGAGACAGGGACGTGTGGCGGTCCCAGGCTGGCTAGGGGAGCGTGCTGGGGCTTGGGGGGACCGTACAGGGCAGGTGGCTGTCTGCCAGCCCCCTCCCTCCGCAGCAGGGAAGGAAACACAGCCGGCAGCTAGACAGAAGGCGATCAGCTGAGCCTCCTCTTGTTTTCTCCTTGCTCTCCTTTTTCTCTGACTCCCTCCTGCTTTTCTCTTTTTCTTTCCAGTTCACTCTCCTTCCATCATTCTCCTTCCCACTCCATTCATCACACCGAGAGCCCCAGCCAGAAGCTGCACAGAGTCAAGGACGCTTGTCACACCCGTGTGTTTTCTTAATAACTATGAACACCTTTAACAATGAGAGGGAATGGAGAATAAATGGATCCTTTCCCTCATAGCCCTGGATGGCTCCCCATCCTGGCATCAGGACTGGTGGGACAAAGTCATGGGAAGGAAAGACCTGCCCTTGAGCAGACTGATGTCTTATAGCCTCGCATCCCCCGGGAGCTGGCCCAGGCAAGGGGACAAGCCCTCCGCTTGCCTGGCAAGTGCTGAATCAGTGAGGCTGGTGGACATATCCTCGTGCCTGTTTTCTTCCATGGAGCAGGGCTCTTCCTCCATACCGTGGTCTAAAGCGGTGGTGGTTTGGGGCACGTGCAGACACATGCAGAGCTGCACGGGACAGTGGGAGGAGAGCGGAGGGCCCGTCAAACCCCCAGCATGCCAGGCAGACCACCCTGCCTGGCCCGCAGCTAACTCTTCCTGTTCCCATGCCTAGAGGCCAGCACCCCTTGGAGTGGTCGTGGCCCGGGGGCAAGGTGGACCCCGCCGGGAAGGAGAAGGAGACCGAGTCCGCAGCCTCGGCAGCCCCCAGCAGCGGCCGGGCAATCCGGGAAGACGACTGCGAGGGGACCGGCACGAAGCCGTACTGCAAAGTCCTGGTGCTGACGGAGACCCAGGCGAACGACACGGGTTACTACCGCTGCTACTACAAGTACATCGATGCCAAAATCGAGGGCACCACGGCAGTCAGCGCCTACGTGTTTGTCAGAGGTAAGAGCCCTCTGGCGGTGCACGCCTTCGGGCTGCGGGAGCTCAGGGGCAGCCTACGCACCGGCGTAAAATCAGAAAGATTAAAAAGCCCGACGTGCCCCCGGCTTCCCAGAACAGCAGGGCAGAGCGGAGCCACCGCGGGCTCGGGGAGGGGGCCACGGGTCAGCTCCCCACCCTGCGAGGGAATCAATATTCGTCCTTTTCTGGGGGATCGCAGCAGCGCCCGGGATTCAATTACCTCCCAGCCCGGGGGCATTGCTGCAGCCGGGCTGGAATGCAGGAATGTAAGGAGCGAGAGCCAGGCCTTGGAGATGCTCGACCGCTAAAAAAACACCAGAGTTAGTCTCTGGGCAGCTGGGGGCTCTCAGAGGTGTTAGTGGCGGAGAGGGGATAGGGACAATAACGCTCCGTAAAGCGCTGGACTGAGGGAGAGGAGGAGCGCTGCACACCTGCCACGGCAGCCCCATGTACCTCCGCTCCACGCTGTCTGAGCAGGGGCTGCCCAAGCAGGCAGGGCTGTGCGGTGTGGTTTTGAGGAGATGGGCTGTCCGCCAGGTCTGGAGCCTGGACCTCTGCTCAGCAAAAGGCTGCGGAGCCGCAGGGCCGATGCTGCATTTCCCCATGCCCCAGGGGCTCCTCCTTCACCATCTCCCCCACCACCTTGCTAGCAGCTCACTGGAGCAAGATAAATGAGCGCTGTCCCCTGGAAACAGTTAGCTGAGCTATTTCTCTTTCCACTACCATTTATTGGTTGGTGCAGTTGTCACGAGCCAGGCAGGTCATGACACACAAGACACATTTTTCAGAAGTCCTAGGACAAAGCCAAATTTGCCTCTGCAACTATGCAGAGAAAAAAGCAGAGGCAAATCACAAAAAGCTGGGCAGCTGCTGGCAAGGAACTGGGGTTTGTGTTTTTTTGGGCAATTGCCTCATGTTCCCATGGGCTCTGCCGTCCATCAGTAAAACTGGACAGAGCTTCCCTGCACCCCACGCATGTCATGAGGAGACATCCCTGCATTGGAGATGGGCACTCAGACACTCTGCTCTTGAGGGCTGGGTCAAGATGGAAGCAGAGAGCTGCTCATGCACGTGGCTGAAAATGAGTACCACCTGCCCGGCTTATGTGCAGGGTATGCTTTTGCAGGAGCCTGATTTGTTTGTGGGTGTGGGTTTCCATTTGTTTTAATTTTGGCCTCCAAATCTCCCAGAACAGTCAGGCGTGGTGTGCGATCCAGCAAACGCTGCTGGGGGCTTTCTCTGCCCCCTTGGCCACCTCCTCTCCCCGCTGGCCTCATCTGCAGCTCACTAATGGCTCTGCTGTTTACCAGAAAGCAGCAAGTGCGCACATGCATTGTAGCTTTTGGGCAATAAATCTCACACTCGCGGGGTGTGCAGCACTTCCAGTGCCTGTGGACAGCATGCATGCCACAGATCCAACCAGCACCTCGCAGCACTGCAGTGCACATGGCTACGCAGCACATGTTCACGCTAATTCCAGTCAAGCTGTGCCCTCTTATGGCTATCAAACATCCAGGAAACCACAGAATCTGCCGGGACAGACTTTCGAGGGACGAGGAGGGACATGTCCAGGAAAACCCAGCCATGTGGTAATCATAGCCATTGCAGAATCTCTCGATAAAGCCCTGCCTGTTCCCGCGGAGCTGGGCTGCAATGTGAAGCTGTCCCTGGAGAGCTTGGGAGGGCTGATGTAAGTGTTGGGGATGTTCGGAGACAACATGATCAGACCACAGATTTAGCCATCAGCCTCATTTCTCATGTTAAGAGCTTGCTGGAATTGCCAGGAACAACATAGCTGTGCTTGGCTGGAAAAATGGGTTCCTCTATATTTTACCTGCAGCACAGCTCTCAAGTGAACTCTCCACACATATGTCTTATTTCCTGTTTGTGTGGTTAGGTGCATTTTATTACCTCTATAGATAGCGCTATAAACATACAGAATACCTCGTCAGGGTGGAATAGGATATGTACGTCCCTCATCTCATAAAGCTTAGCGTATATTAATGAAGAAGATGCTAAATTATTCCCATCCGACCCATTAAAACAGCCTTACAGAAAATATGCAGTGTGGTCGGAGCGGGGAGTTAGTGCATGAATCACAAGCTCATTGGCAGCAAGGCCTGCCCAGTAAATCAGTTAGCTCTTGGCTGCCATGTGAGCCTGGAGGGGACCTCATGGTCTCTCACCTCTGGCAGTTGCGCCTTCTCCCTCTCGTGCGCCCGGGACTCAGGAAGGAAAGAGGAACGTGTTCATGCTCAGAAACGTATTTGTGATTTCAGAGGATAGCGATCCTGTGGCGGTGAAAAGCCACAGAAAATAAAGATAAGGCTTCTCTGGGCAGTCCATATTTTCATGAACAGCTGACCAACACGTTTCCTATGCATGGGTTTCTTTCCCTTAAGCTGTAGAAAAAAGTACTTGCCTCTGAGTAGGTCTTTGCGGCGTGACTATGACTGAAGCAACAGCTTTACGTACCAAAAATTAAAGGAATTCTCTAATGCACTTAACAATGTGAGCACTAGGTTGGATTGTGTTGGGTCCAATGTGATTTGAATAGCAGAATCCCCAAATGGGGATCATTGCTACCTTCATCTTTGACTTGTCATTTTAGATGGGCAGCTTTAGGGGTTTAGTAGAGAAAAGGGGTCTCTGGCCTGAGGCTGGACAAATGGTGCTCCTCACGCTACAGTCCCTTCAAATCGATGGTTTAACTGTGATCCAGGTGAAACAAGAGTAGCTGTTAAGGCTGCTGGGATCGTTCACTCTGAGTGCCAGCATATCAGAAGTCATAAGATTTCCCCCAGCAGCTCCCTTCTGCAGCCCCCCGTCTCCCAGCTGGGAGACCCACCACCTCCTTAAGGAGCCCCCTGGCCTGGGGATGGTTCCCGCGAACAAATCCAATCGTAGTCACGTACTGGGTGGACGTTTCCAGAGACATTACTCTCACAGAGCAAAGAGGCTGGCAGCAGCAGGCGTTGGAGACGCTACAGACCGGCCTCAATGGACAGCAGCCCGTGAAGCATGCATCCCTGTGGAAGTGGGCAGGCAGGGGACAGTCTTTCAGGAGAAATTCTCTATCAGTGATGTGCTGCCAGGGGAGGCCTCACAGCCCCACAGTTTGCTGTCTTTTCTTCCAGTTTTGTCTTTAGTCAACGTTGGTGGCTGCTCCTTTGTGCCTGGTGGGCTCTCCCTGTTTAGGAGTGTCCAAAGAGTAGAAAAGCCCTCAAATTGAAATACTAATTTTGAAGGAAAGCATTGCCAAGCAGTCAAGTGAGCAAATGCCTCAGAAGCAGCCCGCACGAGGAGCTGGAAGAGAAACCTCACCCAGGCTCTCTGGCTGACCATGGTTTGGGAGAGAAGTGGGTTTTGTGCCTTGGTCTCACCAGCTCTTTGCAGTGTATCTGGAGCTGGGAAAGGGGGTCCCTGCCGCCTGGTTAGCTCGACAGCTCTCTGGGGTCAGGTTATCTCTGGGTTCTGTGTGAACGGTGCCTGGCATGATGGGTCAGGACCACAGCAGAGCTCCTTCATATACTGCTGTCGACTCCCCTTGGCCGCGCAGCCCTGCAGGGGCTTGTCTCACTGGGCGCAGGCAGCACGCGGAGCGGGAAGGGGCAGCCCCTTCTGCCGGCATTTGCTTCTGGGGGCTTGCTTCGCATGCCCGCGTGGAGGAGGTTTAGCACAGCACCACTGGACTTGCTAAATCGCTTCAATGATTAATTCTGGGTGGTTTCGCTCTTCCTGTCAATATTTGCGCTTGCAGAAGTTGGGAGGCGGTGGGGTGGCAGCCCTGGAAATCTCGGCTCATCTGTTTATCAGCCGGCCGGGATCGCTGCAGGATGACATCTGCATACCATTGCGCTGCGGATCACTTCCTCCCCGCTGGAAGGTCGCGCTGCCGAGCTCAAACGGAGACCGGCCGCTTGCAGAGGCCTGGGTCAAACCCGGGCAGAGACCTTGAGGGGGTGAAGCAGGGGGAGGCCGCTTCCAGCAGTGCCCGAATGGTGCAGATGTGCCGATCGCTCAGCTGACGCGATGTTCGGTGTGGAGGAGCCGGCCGGCCCAGGCGTCTGCCCCGGCTGCTCCCTTTGCATTCCCCAGCTCAGGGTGTCTCCACTGGCTATCGCAGACTAGGCCGTCCAGCTCAGCACCACTCCCTCTGGCAAGCTCGCGCTGTGTCAGTGAAAGCCAGAAAGCCTCATTTTCTTCTGGTTCCTCCCTCCTCACGGTTCTTCTCTTGCCTCTGTTCAGTTGTTCTTTTCTTCATGTCTCTTTCTCAGATTTCGAACAGCCATTTATCAACAAGCCAGAGACCCTCCTCATCAGCAAGAAGGAGAACACTTGGGTACCATGCCTTGTCTCCATCCCCGATCTTAACGTCACGCTGATCTCGGTGAGAGCTCAGCTGCGCGAGGCTCTGGGCCAAGCTGCAGTGCATTTGTTGTGCATTTTTAATTGCCAGAGTGGAAGCGGGACAGGCACTGCCAGGAATGGAAAATGCATGGGATACATTTTCCATGGAAAGTACAAGCCACTGGCTTCCTTGTTTTATTTGCTGGTTGAAGCTGTGCTGTCCAGTTCCCTTGGGCAGACCCCGTGGGTTTCCTGCCAGCCTTGCTCCTGTTCCCTGGAGCTCTGCGAAACAAAACAAGACTTTATTTTAATCCCATTTCCCTGCAGCATCCCCTGTTTGCTCTGGTCTCTGTGATCTACAAATCCTCTAGGTGGTCGACATCTCCAGGAGGGAGGAGGCTGCAGCACAGGGGCTGATGGCTAAAAACAACTCTATTATCAGCATGCCTTTTTTTTCTTCTTCGTCTTCTTCTTCTTCTCTCTTTTTTTCTTTTTTTTTTTTTTTACAATGCAAGAGGATCCTTCCAGGATGAGAGGATGAGTGTTACTATTGTGCGAAGGCCTCCAGGGACACTCTGGGGGCCAGGGGCCTTTCCCTTGCCCGGGAAGAACACTATCCAAGGTCAGCTCTCATCCTATTGGGGCTTACATTTGGGACATCACCACTGGTTTCCTTAGCTATCACTATCAGTTTCCATTCCTGGAAGTCTCTGGCCCGTTCTGCAGACAGCGAGGCTCGTTATGCGGGACACGGCCTCTCAGGGCTGCAGGGGCAGCCACGATTCCTAGATGACAGACTCTGTGGGGAGGGCAGGAGGCCGGCATGGCACGATACTGCATCTTTTCTTCCCATAAAAGGGCCATGTTAGCTGGCATGAGGCCAGGAAAGGGTGGGGTGGGAATATTGTTACCTTCTCATCTCATTTGGCAAAATGTTGTGTTTTTCCAGCAAAATTCCCTCATCCACCCTGATGGGAAAAGCACTTTCTGGGACAACAAGAAGGGGATGCAGGTACCCACGCACCTGATCAGGGACTCCTTGTTCGTCCAGTGCGAGACTGTCATTGACAAGAAGGTCTTCAAATCCAATTTCTTCATCATCCACATTGCGGGTGAGGATTTGGGAACATATATGGGGGCAGTCTGGACAGCTCTGCAGTTCTTTCAGTGCTGTATCCTCAGGGTGTCTCACAGGGTTGTTATGGTCCTGGCCTAGCTCAGCAGACTCTGTGTCATGCTCGTATCTTCTCTGCTGTGTGTCAGGCTCAGATGCACCAAGCAGTAGCAGGCTGTACTCAGCCTCCTGTGACTGCACAGTCTGAGCTGCAGGTTCCCAGGTTGCTAACGTGATTTGTGCTGCTTTCCAATATCCAGATCTAGTTTCAAAGAGTTAATAGATCAGAAAGGTCTTTTTCTTGCCTCCTGTGCATCAGGGAGCGAGCTGTACGACATCCAGCTGTACCCCAAGAAAGCCATGGAGCTGCTAGTGGGAGAGAAGCTGGTTCTCAACTGCACAGTGTGGGCTGAGTTCAACTCTGGCGTCCGCTTCCAGTGGACTTACCCTGGCAAACAGGTACTGGCAAACAGAGCGGCTTGCTATGCACCGAATGTGTTCCATCTCTGAATTGTCCCCTCCAGGCCCTTTGCTGTTCCTCTTGCCATCGCGGCAGGGGTCTGCTTCATAAGCCCGATCATGCTGCGCCCTGGCCACCTCGTTCAAATGATCTCTCTTTGCCTCACGCAAAGAACCATCCTTTCCAAGGTGTTATCGCTCTGGGGCTCTCCAGGGCAAATACTGGCTTTATTTCCACCAGTGCAGATCCAGAGGAAACATCCTTGGCTTAAAAGGAGCTATTCCAACCTCACAGCCCTGGTTACCGAGAGCCTGAGTGGTTCCCTTCCCCACTACATCGTTGCCCTATGGTAGAGGCAGGCTGTTGTGAAACTTTGCAGAGGGGAGTTCCCTGAGGGCATCACTGCATTCAGCTACCTACAGGGCTTCCAGCCTGGTTACTGGGCTGTGGGTCAGAGCACAATCTGTGCTGAACTGTGACCCCAACCTTGGGCTGTCAGTCAGGGCAGGCGGATTCACCTGCCTGGGTGTCTGGGGAGAGGTGAGCACTGGGCAGCGAGAAGCACAGGCCTGAGGAGCCCATCCACGTGGCCTGCCTCTTCAACATGTCTTTCATCTCTTTCCATCTGCCATCTCCTGCCAGACGCAGCGGGCAGTGACGGAGCCTGAGCGCCGGTCCCTGCAGACACACACGGAGCTCTCCAGCATCCTCACCCTCCAGAACGTGAGCCAACAGGACCTGGGGAAGTACACGTGCACTGCCACCAATGGCGCCCAGATGCTGGAGGAGAGCACCGACGTTATCGTGCATGGTACGGCACCTTCTGCTCCCTCACAGCCGGTGTGAGAGCTGAGCCGGTGAGCAGAGCAATCCCCAGACCTCCTGGGAAGTGCTTGGCCCAAGGCAGAGTGCAGTATCTACGAGTGGCTCATGATGACGGGTCAGAGGGAGCTCTTTGGTTCCCAGCAGCCAGCCATGCCAGCCTGGCCGGCCCGCCTGGCCACCGCCTCCATCCCTTCTCCTCTCCTCCAGGAAGAGGGCCCTGCTGGGATCAGGGATGAGGAAGAGGTGCTGGAGGCTTTATGGGCAGAGAGGAGAAGAGGGGTTTCAGATATTTTGACTTCATTGTTGCTGCAGCAAAAGCCAATTTTGCCTGCGCTCCTGCAACACTTGAGCTGGCCTTGGCCCTCGCTATCTGGCCCTGCAGGGAGCAGCAGAACTTGGCGATAACATGTCCCTTTGTGCTTTCCTCTCCTCCATGCTCGGCTCTGCTTTTGCAGAAAAGCCCTTCATCAATGTGGAGTGGAGGAAGGGCCCCGTGATAGAAGCCACCGCAGGAGATGAAGCCGTGAAGCTGCCTGTGAAAGTTGTGGCTTATCCCCCACCAGACTTCCAGTGGTAACGCACCTTTCTTGGCCTGAGCCACCCCCTTTCCTCCTTCCCGCTGCCAGGGACGGAAGCCTAGCCTAGCCTCCCTTCTAGGTCCCGCTTGAGCCAAAGTGGTCCCAAACGTTGCCTTTTCCCACCTGTGGAGGGCTTGCCCACGTCCCCAGGGTGTTCCCCTATGGCTCTCAGGAGCACAGTTTGGGACAGGGGGAGGTGAGGTTTGGGAGAGAAGCTGCAAAGGTCCTGGCCTGGGTTTGCAGCTCTGCACTGTCTGAAGAGGCCGAGCAGGGTTCCCACGGCAGCTACCCTTCTCGCACCCCCGCAGGGGGCTCACGGAGGGAGAGGGCCGGGTTATGCACCCAGCAAGGGCAGCAGGGACCTGGGAGCTCTCAGCTCCCTCGCACCACAGCCAGGGCTTTGGTCAGGCACAGCAGCGCAAAGGCAGAGATGCGACCTCTCCAAGCCCAAAGCATGTCCGTACAAGACAGCAAGCAGACCCATAGCCTGTATCCGGGAAGGCCTGGGAGTCCCTCCAGAGAGGTCCCCAGGGCTATCACAGGGCGGCCTGACCATGCTCTGGCAGGGACCAGCGAGCTCCTGCCCGGCTGCCGGTAGGACACTTCCTCCCTGTGGCTGCATTTTCTCTCTGCCTCCCCGCAGGTACAAGGACGGGAAGCTAATTCCCAAGCAATCTCAATCTTCAATGCAGATCAAGGATGTGTCGGAGCAGCACGCCGGGACATACACGCTGGTTCTGCGGAACAGGCTGGCGGGGCTGGAGAAGCGCATCAGCCTCCAGTTAATCGTCAATGGTAAGGGATGGGGCCAGGGCCGGGGGGAGCACGCTGAGCCCCCAGCCCCGGCCTTTGGGCTGCTCTGAGACCAGATCCCCTGTTGCCGTCCTAAAGCAGTTGGTACCTACATCTTCTCCCCTGTTGCTGAGGGATGCTCCATTTACATCTAGGCTGGTTCTTTGTGGCCTGGGTACTGGGGCACGGGACTGGGGCCGACGACACTGAAGTTTTTGTTCCTTCTTTGGGCCAGCAATGCCTTTGCTCAGTGACTGTTTCCCAGCTGTAGTTGGGGCTGTTGCTGAGGGTGATCCAAACTGATGGGAACTTCAGGGCAGGGAAGCAGCAACATACATGGAGCCTGGAGCTGGAGCAGTTCTCTGGGTGCCCACCAGCTCCCAGGGAGTTTTTCCCTGATGGAAACTGGTCCCTGTCAAATGGGAACCAGTTGCCAGCACAAGAAGAGATGGAAGGGCACTGCTGCTTGGGGATTTGTCCCTGCAGGCTCTGTAGCCCTGTGCTGGGGGCTGGCAGGCAGTGCTTTGAGCCGTGCAGCATCCAGTGACCTCCTGCAGAGGAAGGAGAAATGACATCACTTGAATCTGCCTAAGTATAACCTCTTCTGCCTTGCATGGCCTGAGCTCCCCAGGAGCTGCCCTGAGAACCGTGGTGCTTTAGTGACCGGTCTCTCTGCAGATGGGCCCAGGGTGGGTTGCGCCTGGCCTGGGGAGACCCAGCAGGCGAGCTGGGGCTGGTCATGGACGCTGTTGCTCTGATGCTTGCAGTTCCTCCGCGCATCCATGAGAAGGAAGCTTCTTCCCCGAGCATCTACTCCCGGAGGAGCCCCCAGGCCCTTACCTGCACAGTCTATGGCATTCCGGCGCCAGAGGTGATCCAGTGGCAGTGGAGGCCATGGATGCCCTGTCGGATGTTCTCCCGACGCAGCCTGTAAGTGCCGTTTTTGCTGGCATCCACAGCCTGCCAGGCCGTCAGGAGAAAGGCTGTGGGCGTCTCTGCACTCTCCACAGTGCCAGGCGTCCTCTGAACTGTGGGGCCGTGGTACAGGGACCAGGGCAGCGTTTCTGGCCCCCTGTGACTGCGGCCCTGTCTCGGTTTTGCCCTCCCAGGCCCCATGTGGCAAGGTAGAGCAGAGCCCACCCGAGACACTTGCTGTGCTCTGGGTGGGATTTCTGCCCAGCCTGGCTGGTCCCTGACACCAAGCACCTCCACAGCTCTCTCTGCCTCCTCAGCCATCTGTTTTCGGCAGGGGATGTCGGTGGCCTGGCCACACCTCACAGCACCTGTAATGACACCACTGACCGGGGGCAAAGCTCGTAGCCCCCTCGGGCTGCCCGTCAAGGGCTGAGTGTCATTATCGCCACTGCGCTGAAGCAGATTGCAGGGGAAGGTATCACAGCTCCTTGGCCAGCGCTGTCCCCAGTTCTGCCCTGAGATCCCACTGGTTTTTGGTCCTTCACCTTCTGCTGGCTGATGATGAAAGCAGAAGTGCTCGCAGGCAGGGGAAGGGAGCTGCTGCCTGCAGGGAAGAGTTACCGAGCCAGGGGGAAGTGCCGGATCTCCACCGGGCAGTTTGCCGGGGGAGCGTTTATGCAAGCAGCGCCAGGCAGGGAGGTAGGAAGGGCGCGTGCCCGCGGCCAGCACGCCAGCCCGCTGCCTGCAGCCTGGGAAGCACCAGGCAGGGCTGCAGTGGCCTTTTACCTTTGCAGGAAGAGGAAAAAGGGATTCTGGGGGGTTACATCAGCACGGTGCCCGGAGGAGGCCGGCGCGTGCCGCCCCACGCTGGCCCTGGCCAAGCCGAGGCCACCAGAGCGCTCCCCGTCACATGCGAGCGTGCCGTGGCCCTGCCAGGAAGCAGTGGGGCCCATGAATTATGAGCACTGTCTCCCAAGGCCGCCGTGTTTCTGCCTTCCATAGCTCCAGAGGATGCAGGAGGCTTCTTTCGGGCTTCCTGTTGTTTACACAGCTCGCCGGCATGCTTGCCACGCCGAGCGCTTTGCCCGGCGCTGCCGGCACGTGCCCTCGCCCCCGCACTCCCCGCTCTGGGCGGCTCAGCTCCCCCCGCTTCCCTACCACTGCAAGCCCTCTCCCACCACAGCTTCCACCCCAGACCTTGGGCAGACCCTCCATGTCTCCCTGCTCCACCTGCATGTCCGAACCCCTCCCCCAGGCTACAGTGTCCCTGGTGGATTTGGGCTCTTCTCCCTGCTCACCTGCCCCAGCCCTGAAGAGGTGCCACCAAGCCCCTGTGAGATGTCAGCATCTCTACTTGGGGCTTTTCTCTCCCGTCTCCTGCGGGATCAGAGCCAGCAGGTGCCCCTGTGGGTGCTGCACCCTCTGCTCTCCAGGCCAGCCCCCAGCAAGGCTGTGAGATCTCTGACCCTCAGTCCCAGCATGGGTTTAAGGCCTCACTGCTGAGCAAACCAGCACTGAGAATTGCCCTGGGCACGCACGAGTGTTTTTCACTTCTGCTTTTCTCCATCCCTAGCAGAGAAGGATGAACCCACAGGTCTGGGGGTGAAGACCCTGCCTGGGACGCCAGTACCCATTCCCTGCCTCAGTTTTCACATCTAAAGATAAATACTCTCACTTATGGCATGGGGTGCTCACTGGTGTTTGCAGAGCACCCTCACAAAGCATCATAGGACCATATAGCCAGGAGATTCAGGCAATTTTGCAGGGTCGGAGAACAGGGGCGTCAGTTCTCAGACACAAAAGCTGTTTTTTGCTGGCTTGCTTCCCAGCTGACCCTCTCTCCGTCTCTCTCCTCTTTCTCCTTTTCCCTGGCTGATGGATTAGCAATAGCAGACACCGGGCAGCAAGGCGCCATCAGCGGGACCGGATGCCTGAGTGCAAGGACTGGAAAGATGTGTCGCAGCAGGATGCGGTCAATCCCATCGAGAGCATTGACACCTGGGTGGAGTTCGTGGAGGGACGGAACAAGGTGAGGCCGTGTCCCCAAGCCCATCCAGGAGGGGGGAACTGGAGACGGGAGCCCTCGGAGGGGTCTGTCATGATCGGCCAGCAAAAGCAGCCTGGAAACAAGCCCGGCAGAGACAGATCGGGCTTCACACCTCAGCTTCTAAAGTAAACCATTGCCTGGCCGTTCCCAGCTCTGGGGCTCTGCAGTACCAGGCAGCACCAGCCCCAGGGCAAGGGAGAGCTGTCGTCTTTGAGAAATTACCCTGCGCCCAGAGAGGCTCCTGCTGGTGCTGACTGCGGAGGAGGGCTCGTGCTGCTCTCCCTGCCCCGATTGCTGCTGGACACAGGCCACCCGGCCAGGGAGGGTGCAGGGGAGGCTTGTGCTCTGCTCCAGGGGCTCCCGTGGCCATTTCCAAAGGCTCCAGCTTCAGCCATTTCGGAGAGGCCAGTCAAACTCTGCAGAGCAGGCTGGGCTGCTTGGAAAGGGTCAACAGGAGCCACAGGCTGATCAGGAAATCTCTGGCCTCAGGAACATGTCTGGTTTTGGTGGGATATTTCATCTAGCTGCCCACATCCTGATGAGGTGAGGGTTGTGTGGAAATGCTGGCGCCCATCCGCTGCAGGTATGCGAGCAAGAGCACGTGTGTGCCCCGCGGAGCCCGTCCCTCTGTCACAGCGCGTTTCCTCTTTGGAAGGAACATCTCTCCCTCGTTCCAGCGTGTGACCTGCGAACGCCCAGTCACCGCTTGCTGCCTGTTTCTTTCTGCCTCTCTCGTAGCCCCGAGCGTCAGCCCTGCGCCCTCTGCCACGGCGGGGTTCCTGTCCCCGGCTAGTGTCAGGCACTGGCCGCTCGCAGAGGGATGCAGAGCAAACAAATGGCCCCTCGTTTCCTAAAGTCAGTTCCTGTTTTCCTCCACACCTCCAAAGTCACTTCCCGTTCCACGGTCCTGGCCGGGAGGTCGTTGCTGTGCCAAAAGGGTGGCAGGGGCTGATGCTGCTGCTTCTGGAGCAGCCAAAGAGAGAGGCTGGGATCAGTATCCCTTGGGTAGGCAAGCAGGGCTGTTGGCAGCTCATGGATGGGGTGCCCTTGTGCCCCCCTCCAGGTGTGACTCTCATCTCTGTCTCATGGACTCTTAAAAACCCTTTTTTCCCATTCTTCTTCTCTCTTCTCTTCCTCCTGTTCCTCAGCCATGTCGTTCTTGCTCCCTGTCTGCTTGAGTGTAACTGTCCTGGAGGTCCAGCTTGGACTGTGCAGCGCAAGGACATGCCAGAGCTCTGGGAGAAGAGAGATGTTCTACTTGCGGTAGCACGCTAAGCCCTCAAATCTCCTCTCTTCCTCTCCTTTCTGCCTATCTTCTCTTACCAGTTTCCTCTGGTTTCATTCTGGAAAGACCGGAATGAGCCACAGTGTGTGCAGTGCACAGCAACGCACCATGATCAGCGAGATGATGTCCGATGCAGAATCCCCAACTCAAACGTAACAGGGCTGATTAAAGTGAAAATCCCCAAGAAACAGGAAAGGCAGCGCACAAAAGCGCCAGCAGTAGGGTCAGTTCAGCGGTATTGAATATGCACTGAGTGAACAACTGTTCTTTCTGCTTAACATAACTTAATACATTGCTGCTTAGAATTGAAATGCATCCCAAAGCGTAAGGGATGAATAGTAAAGGCAAAGTAGGAACTCCCTGTAGGAGTTCCCCTGTAGGAACTCAATTTTTTGCATTTTAAATGTTGTCTCATTAGAGGGAATTTTGCATGTAATTACCTTGCCATTTAAACTTGGAGGGAGGAGGAGAAACCTGCACTTCAAACTGCAGATCTCCTCTAAGGGGAGCGCTTGTAACATGCTTGGCAGCTCACACGCGTGCAGCGTGAGCTGGGGAGGAGGAGGAGAGGAGCCGTGCTCCCCAGCTGCCTTTCCTGGCTTAGCCAGAGGCGACATCTCCTGGGGCTGCGCCTCCCAGGACAGCAGCCTGACTGTTTGCCTGATCTTACTCATGTCTTGCTGATGGAAGGAGGGAGGAGGAAGCTTTCAGGACTGTGCCTAAGTACACTTGGAATATAAAAGGGGAAGATGTCCATGGTGAAACGGTGGGAGCTGGGATGCTTTTTCAGGTCTGATTTCCACTTACAGATAAAAGAAGTGCTTGCACATCTCTAAGGCCCTATAAATCCTACTGAACTCTGCAGGCACTGAGCAGTCACTTAGCTGTGTAAGGGCAGTTTGCTGGCGGAGGGTGTCTGTGTCAGGCACAGCTCTGCTCTGCAAGGCGGCGAGGGGCTCCCCTCGCGTGTGCCCGATATCTGAGCAGAAGGAGGGAGAGGCAAGCTCTGAGCGCAGGCGCCGTGGGCAGTGGGGAATCCAGCCCTCTGTATCCTTTCCCTTTCTCCCCCCAGTTCTGAGGCTTGGCAGGAGCTTAGCTGTCCCTTGAGCCCTGAATCATCTTCAAGTGCCCCTTACCGTGCTCAGGGACCAGAGGGTCTTAGCAAGCAGGTTGCTCCAGAAGTCCCCGGAGAGGAATCCACACTGGCTGGGCTCTGTGAAAGGAGCAGAAATCAGGAACAACGCATTGCTGTTTCTAGAGCCAGCAGAGGAGGCTTGACATGCTCAGGGGGGTATTGAATAAGAGGCCATTTTCATAATCTTTCCTGGGTGCATCTATCCTCTGGGGCAGGGCTCGCTGTGTGCTTTGTTGTCTGCCGGAGGGCAGCGACAATCCTGCTTCTCTTTCTTCTCGCTCTTCTTAACTCGTTCTGATGCTCTTCCCCCATCAGACAGTGAGCAAACTGGCCATCCAGGAGGCCAACGTCTCCGTTATGTACAAGTGTATCGCCTCTAATAAAGTGGGTCGAGACGAGCGGCTGATCTACTTCTACGTGACCAGTAAGTACTGCAGAGTTGCCCTCCACCTTCGTCTGCCTAAACCCTAAACCTTAAGCAGGGCTCAGAGGGGCAGCAGGCAAGGAGGGCCACCCCAGAGCCCTGCAGAGCTGCAGAAGCCTCGAGCCCTGGCAGCAAGCTACATGGGCAGGCACTGGCAGGCAGGGCTGGTGGGACCTGGAGCTGCCTGGGCCTGGGCCCCGGAGCAGCCCTGGCAAGGTCCTGCTGGCCCAGGCAGCGCCACGGCTGGGGACATGCCTGGTCCGAGAGCATCCTCTAGTGGCACTGCCTGACCCACTCCCAGACAAGGGTCTTGCTGGCCCCGAGCAACCCCCTTCGCAGCAGGGCCCCCAGGGGGTTTTGGCGCAGGGAGGAAGCCCAGTTTGTAGAAGCTGGAGCCCAGCACTGTTGGCTGAAGTCACGGACCGTATGGGGTCATGCTGCCAAGCTTTCTGCCACCAGAACCCTGCACTGGTAGCAGCCCGTCCCTGTCTGCAGAGGACAGGGGGCCTGGCAGGGGCCCAGCAGGCTGCTAGGGCAGAGGCTTATCTTCAGGACTGCCTGCAGAGGCCCCAGCTCCCAGGGCTGCTTGCCCTCATAGGTAATACCCATGCTGTCAGCAGACCCCAGCCCTTGTGGAGGAAGATGAATATCCACAATTGCTGCTCTGGTAATGCTCTGCATGTGCACTTGTCCAGCTCAGCTGTATGACTGTCTGCATGTGCAAACGTGTGCACAATTACTGACGGAAGAAATCCAGAACCCCGCGTGTGAGCTAAGAACAAGAAACAGCCAAATTCAGACCCTCCAACCTTGTTTCTTTTGTGACCCTATCTTAATTTGATCCTGGGACTTTGGCACATCTCCTAGCACCCCGCTGAGCGTGAGCTGTCAGTAGCTGGCAGTTTGCATGGGACAGCTCTGCTCTAGGATTTCCTTTGCCCTGGCTGAAGATAGGGGGTCTCACAGAACTGGGCCCAAGGAGACAATTTCATTCTATCTGGCAGCAGAGCCTAGAAGTTTCAGCCATGTCTTCATTTTCTTCCTGAAAGCCATTCCAGATGGGTTCGAGATTGAATCCCAGCCCTCAGAAGAGCCCATGGAGGGGCAGGACCTGCAGCTGAGCTGCAACGCAGACAACTACACCTATGAGAACCTGCAGTGGTATCGGCTGAACCTCTCCAAGCTCCACGATGAGGAGGGCAACCCCTTGGTGCTGGACTGCAAGAACGTCCACCACTACGCCACCAAAATGCAGGGGGAGCTGCGTTTCCAGCCAGACTCCAACGATGCGACCTTGCTGCTCACAATCCCCAACATCTCCCTGGGCGAGGAGGGAGACTACGTGTGTGAGGTGCAGAACCGGAAGACCCGGGAGAAGCACTGCCACAAGAAATACATCTCTGTGCAGGGTGAGGGTCTGCAGGCAAGGCAGGGGTGATGGAGGAGAGAGGGGTGCTCTTGCTGCTGTCAGCTTCCCCAGCCATCCTCGAGGGAAGCTGTACATGCAAGATAAAGTCAAGGTGACAAAGGCAGGGCGCCCAGTTCCCAGGACAGCCACCAGCAGGGGTTAGGGACCCAAAGCTCCCTAGGAGCACAGCTATTCTAATTAATCAGTTTCCCATTTTCCCTTCCTCCTCTTTTTGTTGCTCCTCCAGCCCTGGAGATCCCCCGCCTCAAGCAGAACCTGACAGACATTTGGGTGAATGTCAGTGACTCTATAGAGATGCGCTGTAAGGTGGACGGCAACCATATTCCCGACATCAGCTGGTACAAAGACGAGAAGCTGGTGGAAGAAGTGTCAGGTACAGTGGCCTGGGGGGGTGAATCAAAGGCAGGGCTTCACGTCCGGAGGCCGGAGAGGTGGATGCTGCTGGGTTCTGGGAGTTGCTGCGTCCTGGCAAAGGCACCTGTTCTCTGAATTGGCTGAACTCTGGTTTTAATCATGTTGTGCCCTGGTTTGCTGCACTCTGACTGGCCAAGTCCGTGCCCTAGGGGCTGGCTCAGCACTGTCTGTGCATGTGTGCGTTCAGCTGGAGAGCAAAGAGAGATGCATTGTGCATCTTTTCACTCTCAGCCCAGTGCCTGGCATCTCTGCTCAGGTAGGGTCTAACCCAGATGCCATGAAAGGAATATGGGAAGGATCCCAAGGACTTGCAGAGGGGAAGGAGCAGGTCCTGGAGCTGAAGCAGTGCTTGATGCACCATCTGGGTTACCTGAGCACAGTCCCCCATCCAGCACTGTCTGCGAGGGGATCCCTCCCTCCATGCATTGCCTGGGGAAGGCCCTTCCAGGATAGCTCTGGGAGCATTAGGCCACAGAGGAGAGTCTCTACTAGCTGGTGCAATTTCATTCCAGGCTCCCCATAATCCAAAATGAACCAACCAAAAAATAAGAGCCCTGTTTTAAGCGTGAACATGTTCAATGTGCTTAACAGACTGACTCCTTGTGAGTGACCCCTCGCATTGAGCTCATAACCCTCTGTGCCTTACAGGGATCGACCTGGCAGACTTCAACCAGAGGCTGAGCATTCAGAGGGTGCGGGAGGAGGACGCTGGGCTCTACCTGTGCAGTGTCTGCAATGCTAAGGGCTGTGTGAACTCCTCAGCCAGCGTCTCTGTGGAAGGTACCAGCAGCCACAATACCCCTGGGGATGTACCCCTTCAAGTAGGAGCACAGCCAAGGTCCCACACCTCTTCCCTATGACATTGGGCAGCAGGAGAGCAGTGACAGCCTCACTGGTGGCACGGTGCTGTCACAGGAGGCACTGTAATTAGTCGAGGGCACATCTAGCTTTGGCAGTATTGGCCACTCTGCTTTCCTCAGAGAGGGCCTGCTCTGCAGTACCCAGCATGGGGGGAAATGCACCTCCCTGGTCTCCCCATGTGCGAGAGACAGCTGAGCTGGGGCAGGGAACAGGCATCTCTCTGGGGCTGCAATTTCCCTCCCATCCCACAGGCTCTGATGACAGGACCAATGTGGAAATTGTGATCCTGATTGGGACTGGGGTCATCGCTGTTTTCTTCTGGATCCTCCTCATCCTCATCTTCTGTAACATCAAAAGGGTACGTGTCTGCCTTTGCCCCAGGGGCTTAGAGAAGGCTGGGGCAGCACCATTGCTGCAGTGGCTGCCCAGGGGCTGTGCACGAACATCCATCAAGGGGAGGTTGTTGAGTGCTGCTCCAAACACTCTCACTGCAAAGGACAGGGCCGCAAGAGGGGACAGAGAACAGCCTTTGCTGGGGGAAGCAGGTCAAGGCAGGTAAAAGAACCAAATCCACTCTGGGATTCTGCACCCAGTGCAAGGAAGGTGTCTTCTCACCCTCTGTGCTTGCTGATTCCTGCAGCCTGCCCATGCAGACATCAAGACTGGCTACCTCTCCATCATCATGGACCCCGGCGAGGTGCCTTTGGAGGAGCAGTGCGAATACCTGCCCTATGATTCCAGCAAGTGGGAATTCCCACGAGATCGCCTGCGCCTAGGTGAGCCAGGGTCCCATCCCTGCTGTCCACTCACTTCAGCCAGGGCTTCTCACCCACCCTTCAAACACACCATCCAGGTTTCTTGCATCCCTCTGTGTATTTGCTGCCTTCTCTCTGCTTCAGGCTTCCAGTCTTCTTCCCCAGACTGGCCCTGAAGCTCAGCTGTGCTTGGGTCTGAGACTGACTACTCTGCCTGGTAAATGCAGGTCTGAGCCAACTGTAAGCCCAGACTCTCCTGACATACCCACATTGGGATCAGAAGACATCTGGGCATGTGTTAAAACACATCCCCATGCTCTCTGTCAGTCTGGACTGGACAGATCAGCCTAGCCCATAGCAAGTACCCCAACTTCAGCAGCTACCATCCAGAAGCGAGGACCAGGAATGGCATCCGTTACTCCGCCTCCTGCCAAGACACCCCCCTGCACCCCCTGCCCTCTGTCTGGGAGGGTTCAGAGGACTGTAGACTACCTCTGAGGCCCAGAGCAGTGACGCTAGCCCTGGCTGCTCTGCTGCAAGGTGTTGCACTTACCTTTCCCACGCGCTCTGCTTGAGGGCGACAAACAGCCCCTCACCTCTGCAGGCCGTTTCCTTCCTCCGCTTTGTCCATGCCAACTCTGTCCCAGTTCCTCCTCTCAGCCTTTCTCTTATTCTCACCACCAGAGCAAGCAGCCGCCTGGGAAGGGCACACGTTCCACTCCTTCCTCTTCCTTTATGACCCTTTTTCTTTCTTCTCCCCATGGTTTCCTGTTGGCTTTTTTGTTTTTTGTCCCATTCTCCTTGCACTGCACCTGCCTGCCTTCACACTGCCTCTCTCCTTGCCCATAGGTAAAGTCCTGGGTCACGGTGCCTTTGGGAAGGTGGTGGAAGCATCAGCGTTTGGGATCAATAAAAGTAACAGCTGTGAGACTGTAGCAGTCAAAATGCTGAAAGGTATGTGGACAGAGAAGCAAGATATGCAGTCTATGCAGACAGCCAAAGATGAGGCATCTGCCAGGGAATACCTACCTTGTTAATATCCACCCCTTGCAAAAAAAAAAAAAAAAAAAAAAATTCCAGGGCCTTAATGAATGTCTTATCTCCCACAAGCACTCCTGTGTGCTCCTGCCTGAGCCAGCCCTCAGCCAAGAGAGGAGCTCTAGCCAGCTTTCTAATGTATGACTTCTTGGCCCCGACACAATTGGTCCTCTTGGCCTCTTCCCACGGATGCTTCAGCCCCAGTCAGCTGCGCTGGGAGGCAAGCGGCAGAGCAGACAGGAGGGCTCGCAGCCAGGCTTTCAAGGGAATTGAGCTGTCTGTAAAGGCAAAGAGCAGGATCTTTCTCAGAGAAAGGACAAGAACATAGAGCCCCACTTTGGCAGGTCACTGAGGGAGGTGTTGCTTCTAATTGCCTTCTTCTGAATGTGCCTGTATTTCATGCTTATGGGCCAGGTTCAGAGGTGGTTAAGCAAGTAGGTCGCAGCTCTTGAACTCAGAAGGGCTGAACTGGCTTTGCACCCAAAGCCTGCTCCTTGCAGAATTGAGGTCTTACGCTCTAATGGCCATGCTTTCAAACACACATCCAGAACATCATCCCTTAATTTGGCACCGAATAAAATATCAAAGCAGTCCCCGGCCAGCAGCGACTTGTGGGTCCACTTGCCACTACGGGTGCACACATGGTCTGCGCAGCAGTTGCAGAGGGAAGCCTGGCTGTGCAAGGTTGTTTAACAGTCCTTTGAGGCATGGCTCTTACCTGGTCCATCAGCTGTGGTTGAAGAAGGTATTTCTCTCTCTCAGACTAAATTTGCAAGCTCCCAAGTATGGTGACATGCGTAGGGAAGATGCAGAGTAATATGTAAAAGGCACATGAAAATAGAGAATGTACCCTGAAGGTAAACCAGAGTCACAGAGCAACACTAGGCAGTCTCACAGCCGGAATACCTATAGAGGAGCAAGCGTTGGTGCGAGCTGGGCACTCGGAGAGAAAATGTAATAGAGAGAACTGGCAGGGGCACAGTGCTGTGTGTTTCATGTAGGAGAGGAATTAGAAAAAGACCTTCTGGGTTTGAGCTGAGACAGTTCCTATCTTCAGTCATGATCAAAAGACTCTGATGACTTTTGTTTCTGATTTTCCTTCAAATGGTTTTATGGCTCATTATTTCTGTTTGGAGGTCAAAAGGCCAGAGATTCAAACGTGTGCAACTGTATGTAAACCTTTTCCGTACACAACTACCACAACAAAAGTTTGTTGGACGGATGGTGTTCTCCTTTGGTGCAGGTCCCTGCAGCCACAGGGACCATCCCCTGCGGTTGCAGTAAGGATCCTGGGAGCTCCAGTCAAGGCCCTGACATTTCGTAGGAACACATGTAATACTAAAATGTACCAAGGCTTCAGGGTCACAGCCTCCCCAGCGAGAATTGCATTAACACCGTTACACTGTGTGCTAAGAGAAGAAAGGTGGTGAGGGGGAGTGAAAAAGCTGTGAGGAGGAGTCATGACCTGGTCTGTGTGTTTCTAGAGGGAGCTACCGCGAGTGAGCACAAGGCACTGATGTCAGAGTTGAAGATCCTCATTCACATCGGGAACCACCTCAACGTGGTGAATTTGCTGGGTGCCTGCACCAAACCCAATGGTAAATATCCCAGGGCAAGGGGCTGCACCTGCTCATGGAAATTGGTGCTCCTCCCCATGCCATTTCTGCTGGCTGTGTGCATGACCGCAGGGACATGGGTGGGTGGATGTTATCGGCACGTCCGTGCACACTTAGGGGCAGATGCCATGGCTCAGCAGGGCTGCACCAAACAGGAGCCTGGTTAGCTTCTGACCACCCCAAGCCCTTACCTCTTCCCCTGACCCTTGTTTTTTCTCATCAGGTCCACTCATGGTTATCGTTGAGTTCTGCAAGTATGGAAACCTCTCCAACTATCTGCGGACCAAGCGGGAGGGGTTCAGTCCTTATAGGGTAGGTAGCCTCCTTTGCCCCTAGGGACTTGCCCCGTGGTTAGGGAAGAAAGAAGGTGCGTGGCTTGGAACATAATGTGTAAGTGGGGCAAAGCTATCCTCTGTATAGCAGCAGATCAGCTCCACACAGTGATGTTGGTTCATGTGCAAAATCAGGGAAATAATTTATTTCTGCAGTGGGCGATAGGTGCTTCCAGGCCAGGATTACAGTCTAAGAGCAGGACAAGACTGTTTAGCTCATGGATGCAGGGGTTATATTGTGTTTTGCCTGCTGAGGTTTGTGTCTTGATCTCCTTGCCAGGAAAAGTCACCCAGGCTGCGCATTCAGGTTCAGTCCATCGTGGAGGCAGTGAGAGCAGACAGGAGGAGTCGTTCTGGGACCAGTGACAGCGCTATCTTCAACCGCCTTCTGATGCACAAGAGCCAGACAGCACAGCCAATCCAGGAAGGTAATACCCTGGCCTCTGCAGCAGCTCCCCCTCAGGCCCACTGAACATCTGCTAGACTCAGCTAGCTGTGGGGACTGGGTGGGACATGAGAGTGGGCAGCTGGGACCCTGCCTCGGAGCTGATCACTCCACTGTTGCATGACAGCTCGCTGAACAGGGCTTTTATATTCATCTGTTGTCTCTTGTAATAGACCAGTGTCAGTTCTCCAGGGTTGGGACTGATCTTTTATTACAGCATGTCCCACGTGCTGCATATGCAGAGGTCTAATATGGCAGAGTCTCCAGGTGCATCACGCCACAGCCTGTAGACAGTGTTCGTGAATGTGGTCCCTCCAAAAACCTGCTTTGCCTTTTAACTCTTGGTTGGTGCACGTGCCAGCACTTGGTATGCCCTTTGAGAAGGATAGAGACCAGCTGGTGAAAGCATAGCAATGACCAGAAGAAACTCTAGAAATGAGGATTAAATTACCGTGTATTTTTTAGCCTAAAGAAGGGAGGGGGGACAAGGAATGTGTCCTCCCTGAGGCAGAAGGTGAATGAGCTGACCTTAAAGCCACTTCCAGCCCTGCTCCCTACAGCTCTGTTTGACTGTGAAGCGTGTCGGAAGCTGGAGTCGTTCTCATACATAAGCAGCTTCTTTCCATGTGCTTTCTGCCACCTGAACAGTCATCAGAAAGTCCTAGAGGGGAGCTGATACTCCAGTTAGCAGCAGGGACTAGCTCTATCCCACCAAGAGACGAGTTGTGTCCCACAGTCCTAGAGGGAGGCAAGAAGGACAGGAGACAATTTGCTGTCTAACAATTTTCTTGTCTTGTGCTCCTGGACAGTGGATGATTTGTGGCAAAGTCCCTTGACTATGGAAGACCTGATTTGCTACAGCTTCCAGGTAGCACGCGGCATGGAGTTCCTGGCATCCAGAAAAGTGAGTCCACCTTTCCCTCGCTCCTCTCCTTGTGTGCCTGCCTGACCAGAGGAAGCCTGGTGTGGGCTGGCAGTGCAACTGCGGAGCCTCGGTGCGTGCATGTACATGTATACAGACATACATGGATGGCCAGTCTCTCTGCCTGGCTGTTTGCCATCTCTGGTATTGCTATGTGCATTTCATGGCTACTGAAAGTTGCAACAACATCCTGCACACTAGGAAACTGCTTATGGCCATTTTACAGGTGACACGCAGAGAGATTAAGTGCTCTGCCTCATATCGCTCAGGAAGTCTGTGACAAGACAAGGGCAGAAACTCCGTCCTCCTGCACTTCATCCCCTCCTTAATTACCTCCGTTTTTGATTTTTATCTTTAGCTCCTTCCCTCCTCCATCGTTCTTCCATAACAGTTCAGGTTCACAAGGGAAGGAGAGAACTCTCCACTTTCTGATAGTGGTTGCTGTCCTTCTGATTTTGCCCCTTTCCTCCTTCTGTGCCCTCAGTGCATCCACAGAGATCTAGCTGCTCGCAATATCCTGCTGTCGGAGAACAATGTGGTAAAGATCTGTGACTTCGGCCTGGCCCGGGACATCTACAAGGACCCTGACTATGTCAGGAAAGGCAGTGTGAGTGCCATCTCCTCAAACCCTGTAGAGATTAGGCCTCTGATGAGTGTTCATGAACTATCCTGGTGCTGGAGTAAGCTGAGAAAAAGAAGATGGAAAGGGATGGGTGGAACCACTTGTGTGGCTGGGACCAGGGGCTGTTGAGATGTATGTGCAGTCCTCCTCCAGTATCTGGCTTCTGTCTCCTTCCTGTTGCTCCTCAGCCCATCATTAGCTCACTCTTCTTTATTCTCTTTCCTCTTCCTTCCCTTGTTCATCTCTATTCCATCCATTTTAGTGACCAGCCCTTAGCATCTCAGTCCCTCTACTGGCCTAATCAAACATCCTTTTCTCCGTGGAGGGAGGAGCGGAGCAGGGCTGTCGGGTCTAGTTCCTTTCCTCCCTCCTGTGGCTACCAGCAGCTCTGTATTAGGATGTGTCCCTGACCAGACATCTGTGCCTTGCCTCTTCCTCCCACAGGCTCGTCTCCCACTGAAGTGGATGGCTCCAGAGAGCATCTTCGACAAGGTCTACACTACCCAAAGTGATGTCTGGTCATTTGGAGTCCTCCTCTGGGAAATCTTCTCACTAGGTGAGTGCTAACAAAGGCCACACACTGCCAGGGAAGGCAGGGCCTCTATTCCCATGTAGCAGCTCAGTCGGTAAGTTTGCAGGAGGAGACATCGATGTGGGCAAAACAAATATAGAGGCTGGATTCTCCCAGAAAATGAGTGATGGGAGCCAGGCATGTGGAGGCAGCCTCCTCCTGGCTGTGGTAGAGAGGCCTGTCGCTGGCAGTGCCCAGGACCCGGGCTGCATGTGAGAAGTGACCCCATCTCCCAGTATTTTGGCAGTCTCAGGGGAGGGGCTGGTTTCTGATGGTGCACTTCACCCTCCTGCCCCCTTCACCCCTTTCGGACCTCCTTTAGGGGCATCTCCATACCCTGGAGTCCAGATCAATGAGGAGTTCTGCCAGAGGCTCAAAGATGGTACCAGGATGAGAGCCCCGGAGTACGCCACAGCAGAAATGTGAGTCTGAAACCTCCGGGGTCCCAGTGTAAGTCAGGGCAAACCCCAGTGTGGGCTGGAAAGACCTTTCGGCCAGGGTAGGGGACCAGCCAACACCTCCTTCTCATGCTCTCCAGGCAGTTGCCTGCAGGGCAAGTTACATGGGTTCAAATCCAGGTCTGGGCAATCTAGAAATGTGGCCAATGTGCTGGGTGCCAAGGTTTCCTTCCCAGCATCGGTACGCTCTGTCCCAGTGGGCACTGCATGGGTGAGAGCTGCAGAGTGGGTGAGGGGGGGTTCTGTGTCGTACAACCACCATCTCTTGTTGGCAGTTACCGTATCATGCTGAGCTGCTGGCACGGGGATCCCAAGGAGAGACCAACTTTCTCTGACCTGGTGGAGATACTGGGGAACCTGCTTCAAGAAAACGTCCAGCAGGTGAAAACCTCTGTGGGCCCCTTGCTCGGCTCCAGACAGTTTTTTCTTCTCGCATTTCTCGCTCTTCTCGCACAGAGGAGTGCCCTCCTCTGATTCACAAGCTGATGCGTGCCTTGGCGTAGGCCAGGGGGTAACACAGGGTTTACACATGGATCGGAGAGGTCTGTGTCCCAATGGTACTGGAGAGACCATTTCTGCAGTGGCCCTTTTACTGCATCCTGATATAGCTCCAGTGCTTGCAGAAGGGGTGCCCTTTCAATCATCATTCCAGTATTTTCATCCTAATCCCAGATGACTATCTGAAATTTTTCAGCTGACTCAAGGCCCTGGCACTCCTGCCTCCCTTACGCCCGCATAATGAAAACCAGGACTTCACCAGGCTTGCTGAAACTCTGTCTTTAGATCTGAATGTCAGGGCCATGTGAACCAAACAACTGTTCTGTTACAGGCAGTCAGATACACAGATTTCTCTGAAAATGTTCCTAATGCCGGCCATGTGGTAAATGACCAGCATTTTAACAGCAGTGAGTGGGCAGCTCCGATCTTGACTTTTTCTTTATGTTCTGGTTTAGAAGATGACAGCTAAATTCTTAAATATCAGTAGTGTCCCACCCTTTCCCCCGATCTTTAACCTTTCAGCCCTGGATCCCAGCGCAGGCCCAGCTAAGCCACAGTGGCGTACCTGCATCTGCGTATCATGACGCTAATGCAAGAGGCACACACAGGTTGGCTGAGGAAGCTGGAGAACTGTAGGTGCTGTAGGACTGAGTTGTTTTCCTGCTCACTCACACCTCCGTGCAGTTGCAACACTTGCAGCCTCTTAACACAGAGGGCACTGAAATCTCCAGGTAGATGTTTTGTCCTAGAGAGAAACAGAAGATATATAATAGGAATATTCCTCCCTGTTTCTGACAGCTTCTGTTTGCCGAGCCCTTTCCTGTGGGAAAGGCCTCCCCTTCTTGTAAGGCCACTCACTCTTCCTCCTACCAGGAAGGGAAGGATTACATCCCGCTGAATGACTCTCACAGCTCGGAAGATGATGGTTTCTCCCAGGTGCCTTCCTCTGTCCAGCAAAACTCAGATGAAGAGGACTTTGACATGAGGATACGCTGCCACAGCCTAGCAGCAAGGTGAATCCCCTCTGGAAAGGGCAGAGAGAGCCCAGGAGGCAGCCAGTAAGGGTGTAAGGGTGCCTGAGGGGTATGGGGAGAAACCAGTAGTGACAGTTTGGACAAATCCCAGGTGATCAGGTCTGAGCTAAGCATTTTGGCCATAGCTTGTTGCTTTTATTCACTTTACTTTGCTGACAAGCAAGTCCCTGACGTCTGAGTCTATGACAGTCCTCCTCCTGCCTCCAGCTGCGCAGCCAGAGCATCACATCCCACTAAAGGCATCGCAGCCCATTAGGCAGACGAGGAGAGAATGTGTCAGCTGAGTCTCTGTCCTTCTGCTAGAGCAAGGGCTTTACCTTGCCTATTCCTAAATAACCCAAACAATTAGGCAAAGGCTTCTAGTCTCCTGGGAGCTGTGACCCAGTGTGATGCTTGGGATCTGTAAGACATTTCTCACCTTTTCAGTTTGGGTAACTGGATGGCAGCAGGACAGCAGATTTCTGGCCCTACGCTTACCCTGGCTGTCCAGGAGTGTGTCAGTAGCCCTATCTATGGGTAAGCAGAGAGGTAATTAGACCAGATTCAGTCAGGAAATTTGTTTGGGTGCTTCCTACTGCAGAAGGAGTATGTGGGCACGAGGCCTAAAGTGACCCCATTCCCCTCCCAAAACCCACCTTGTGGGTCATGCATGTCCCTGCACACATTGGTTACTGTGAGGGAAGGATGGGGATCAGCTCCTGTTCGTTCCGGACTCTAGACACTGCCTTAATTGGTTTTATTGAATACGATGCATTTCTGTTGGTAGATATTACAACTGTGTCTCATTCCCTGGTTGTTTGACGGGAGGAAATCAGATCAGGTGTCCGTCCAGGATAAAGACATTTGAGGAGTTTCCCATGACACATACAATGTACAAGGCACACCCGGTGAGTAGCGGCTGAATGGGACTGAGCAGGGGGCAAAGAAACGTTCAGTTGTTTCTTGGCACCTTACTGTTAAGATCATGGAAGGAAAATCACTCCTATCAAATGTCAGTCTGTCCATGTCATTCCTGTTCAGTCCTGTCCAGTCCTGTGCACATTCATTTCTCCACCTGGCACATAAGAGTTTCTCTATAGCCCAGCTTATACTGTCTGAATGTGAAATAGGGAGGTTAGATCTGCAAGCAAGGCCTGTAAAGGACCCCAGAGAGGAGTATGCTCATCACCCTTCCCAGATCTGTAAACACGGCCTGGTTAAGCCTACTGAAATCTAGCCAGAACTAGATAAAACCAGAGTGCTTGTCTGCACCTGGAGCTCCCTGTCCTGACCCACCAGCAGTGTGCAGCGGGGTCTTCCCAGCCTCTGTGAACTGGGCTGGCGCTTACATCTCTGACGGTGGCAAAACCTAAGTCCCACCATAGTGTCAGAGGAAAATCTCACCTCTCACAGATCTGATGGTAACACTTCTTCCAGCAGGGAGCATTTCTTTTCCCCAAAAGTGACAATGAGCTGAACACGCAAATCCTACCTTTGTATGCGCTGCTTTTACGAAGGCACATAAGAAAACCAGTTCCAACAAGACCATGGAGCATGCTGGTAAAATGCCCTTACGTCCTTTTCGCATCTCAGACACGCGTGCTCTGGTCTCCTGAATGATTCCATTGCTTTGAATGAATGATTCAACCTCCCTTCCCAGTCTGATCAGTCGACAGGGATGTTACTGATAACTCCTGTTGCTTCCTTCCAGGACAATCAGACAGACAGTGGGATGGTTCTGGCATCTGAGGAATTTGAGAGGATAGAAAACCGACACAGAAAAGAAGGTGGATTCAGGTACTCCTTAAGTCTGGCCACTCAGACCTCCCTGCTGTCAAATGCAGTGAGAGACTGGGAGGCAGCTCTTGGTGTCTCCCTGTAGGTCATGTTTCTTGGGGCTCTCAGCAGCAGCACGGCTGTGGACTCTGAGCCAGCTAAATCCGTGTACACGTTAACGAGAGGCAAAACGTATCACAAATGGACTTGCCCGTGCTGCTTCCTAGGCTTTTAAAACGTAAACTGTGACCATTCAACAGAGCAAAACATGTTCCTGATGGAACATGTCCATTAAGGCATACTGGAGTGACAGTGTTAATAGGGCTCTTATTACTTATTGACATCCTCCAGTGAAGTGTATCAGGGCTTGTTCAAGCGGTAGTAGGTGGAAAAGACCGAGGCAATGTGGCTGCCACCTACTTGGGGTTCCCCCAGCCCTGTCAAGTTGGCTCCAGCCCTGTCCCATGTGCTACAGGGCCCCGACACAGTACAGCAGGGATGGTTCAGGCCTAAGGACCTCCTGTGTGCTGGTACTGAGCCCAGCAGATTGCTCTGGCACTGCTCAGGGGCTGAGAGTGTTATGGATCGTGGCTTGAAGTCTAGGTAAGAACCTGTCCAGCTCATCTCTGCTTGATGCCAGAGCAGCCTGGGACCTCATCCCTGTGACAGTGGGTTGAGTGAGCCATGTCAGCTCATGTGCAGTCAAGGCCAGTCCCTAACCGGGGATCCCAAGTCGCTTCCTCACCTGCTCTTCTTCCCCACATCGTTCAGACTGGTCATTGTCTTTGCCCACATCTGCTGTCATATCAGACCATTTCCTGCTTCTTGCCCTTTTCTCCCTAAGGCACCTTCCTGTTTTCTCCTAGACTGGGGCCTACCTGACATCACATTCTCCGGTAAACACTGCCCTTCTTAAATCTCTCCTTGAACCCATCCTTGTTGTCACTCCTGTGGCTTCCTGCCGATCACTTGGTGTTGGCAGGCATTGGGACGGGGTTGCTGCTTTCCTTCCATATCTTCTCCATCGTCTTCCTTCATTTGCTTTCCCTCATCCAGGCTGTGGGTCTGTGTCACCTTCTGTTACTCCTGCCAGGTACCAGGTCTAGGAGCAATTCAGTTGATGGCTCTTGTCTCTCCCCGTTTGTTGGGGCCCCAACCCTTCACTGGGCTTCCCAGAGGCATCCAGAGGAGCTGAGATAACTCCAGTGCAGGGCTGTGTACAGATTTTCATGACATATATGGGTTGCGCTTAGTTACCTAAGTGAGGCTTGGTGCTGTGCTTTGAAGTAGAGGTGTAAGTTCATTCCTGACCCTGTCTCTGCCGCTAGCAGATGACGTTTCCTGAAGCTGGGATTCTTCTAGGCCAGACAGAGACTTTCCAGGACTGCTCAGGCTTGACCTTCTGTGTCTCTCTCCCTTACAGCAGTAAAGGGTCCAGCCGAACTGCAGAGCTGCTAGGGGAACAGTCGGACCTGAGGGGCAGATGTCAGCCGTCGTATGGGTCCCAGGTCGGAGGCCAGACTTTTTACAACAGTGAATACGGGGAGCTGTCAGAACACTCTGAGGACGGCAGCTGCACCCCGCCTGGAGAGGGGGCCAGTCCCTCCACTCTCCACGCTTCCTTCTTCTCCGAGCAGTACTAACGGCGTCAAGCCCCCGAGGTGCCCTGCCGAGGCATCCCCCCCACCCTCCAGGCACGTTGTCAGGGCCACCTAGAGCTTCCCCTTCAACCTAGGCCCAACCCCAGCAGGGAACCCACCCCAAATGGATGGGGAACACCGATCTCCGTGGAACTGCGGCACAACGGCCCACGCAGCACCTCCAGCTGCAGCTTCTCCGTGCCAGGACTGGAGAGAGCACCTCGCTGATTCCTCGGGTTTCTTTTATTCCTGTGGCTCAGACAAATGCATTCTGCCGGCGAGTGGGTGCCTGTGCTCAGCACTACAGCACCTTCTGCCTAGCATCCAGCCTCCACTCAGATCAGCTTCCCATTCGGAAAGCCCATTTCAGGTCAGATATAAATAGATCCGTCGTAGTCAAGTTTCTTCCTGGTGTGCAGCCTCAGTGTTTTTCCTTGGATTGCTTCCTCCTCCCGTACTCATGATGTCAACTGCTGAGCCGGGGAGCAGAATCAAAGGGAAGAAATCCCTAGTGGCATCAGCAGCCAGAGCAGGGCATTTCGACGAGGTGTGTGGAGAGATCCCAAGGGATCATTGTAAATGTTCGCACACTCTGTTCACTCTGGGTAGGTGCCAGTGTACACCCAGCCTCTTCGACTCCTCTGTGAGTAACACTCATACCCCTCTCATCTCTGCTGGCAGGGGCCCTGTCACTCTGCTTCATCACCAGGATTATTTTAGCCATCTCAACACAGCCAGTGCCGAGTAGCTGATGGCTACAGTCCTCCCAGTGAAATAAATAAATAGCAACTCTTTTTATAGGCCCTGTGCAAAATAGGGTTTTGTATAGTCAGCCCTGGGAGCAGGTTGCTCACAGGCCTGCTGCTCTTGCCTCCCCCTTCTCCCAGAGCAGTGTTGAGATCATTTGTTGCTCAAGTGAGAAATTAAAGCAAAACTGTGTTAATTTCAGCTGGCTTCCAAACATAGAGCAAAAATGGGTTGTTTGCTGAGAGGAAAAGGATCAAAGTGGTAGGGAGTGAAATGTTTATTGTCAAGCTGCTGCAATGGTTTTGCAAACAATGGAAGGAACAAAGCTGCAGCAACGAGGTGCCCCGGACTGCGTCCCCTTGTGTGTTGGCACTGCTGTGCACACAGTCGAGGGCAGCATCTGGCCTGTGGCTCAAGCACTAATTCTCCTGGATGGACATGTCTGCACCACGACCCTTCCTGCTACCCTGGTTCCCCAGCAGCCCCTGGCTCTAAGGAGGCAATCGCTGCCTCACAGGCACCTCACAGGCGCAGTTTCTGCGCCAGACCTACCAGCGCAGCCTATCTGCCTTTGGGGGACCGAGAAACGTGTTTGCTGAGGAACCGTCTCATCGCTTGGGCTTTTTGTTTCTGAAGGATATCACATGAATTCAGAGCTCTGGGGAACCTTCGCAGCCTCTCTGAACAGATTTCTGTGCTGCTGCCTCGCCACTCTCCACCTACTTCTCTCCGTCCTGCTCATAATCCAAGAGCTCAGCCACAGAGCACAGTTACATCACTGCCGCAGGAGTCTGGGTGGAGAGGCTCGTCTGAACAGCTTGTCGTCTTCTCCCACGCGCTGGAGGCTGGCAGAGCTCCTTGCACCAGGGCATCTCGACACCAGGGAGCTCTGCTTGCAGGCCACACCTCTGTGCTCAGAGCCAAGGGTTTGGCCTGGACTTTCTTTGTTGTGTTTCCCAGCAGATAGAATGTTTTCCCAAACTGTATTTCTCTTCCGGCAGAGGGTTTTATGCATTTCCTGATGTGAGCCTGTGAGTCCTTATGGATGACTTTCCCAAGTCTTAATTATAGTTCTCTGCACACGTGTAATGGGGGAGATTTATTTAGCATATGGGAAAAGCAAGGCTGTCATTCAGATTCTCTATGCCGGTGCAGAGCACAAAACCAGAGCGCCTAGTATTCCCCTTCCCTGTTGTGTCAGCAGGATGGCATGGCTATGATTTCCATGGCAAAAAGAGGCACAAAAGTGGACCAGCTTCAGCCAAGCTGGCTCAGGAATGTGTAACTGAAAACTGCATGTGGCAATTAATCCTCTGACTTCTGGCATCCCCCAAAGCTGCCAGGAGTCTGAGCTGGTAGGTGTCAGGACTCAAGGAAGCAGGACAGCCAGCAGGGTGCAGGTCAGGCCAAATTCTCCTGTCCTCACCCTGCTCTGGTTTTAAACTGTGTTGTTCCCTTGACAGAAGAAAGGCTGCGTGTGCCCGGTGCTCCTGCCTGGATTCACGCAGGTGGAAGGTGACAGACAGCAGAGTAAAATTCAGGCTGCTCTCTTGGCGATGTGCATCCTTAGGACCCAGATTCTCTTGTTCCCAGTGCTTCACAGACCGTGCTCCTCTGCCTGGAAACACATCTCCAACTGAGAGAAGGCCTAAGAAAGATGTTTATAAATTAAATAAGAAATGAAAAACAGAATTCCAAAGTGGCCACAAATCCTCGCCCATATTAGAAACGTACTGGCAAACCCGCACACTGGCAGGGCACTGGCAGGATTCCTCAACAGAGCAGGGACAGAGGCATCCGAGCGCTCTGGCTGGCAGTCAAGGCTCACAATTAGTGAGGACAGCTGCACTTGGTCTTTAGGTTCAGCTGTAAATTGCTCATGAGCAACATTGTGGAGAAGGGTTACTTCGTTAGAGCCATTGTTAAAAATCCCCTGCTGCCCTCAGAGGAAAGCACTGGAGTGACATCTGATTTTGAACACTGAAATCATTCAACTCCACAAAAGTATGTTTTATTTTCTCTATTTTGTACCATCTTGATGGGGGCGTGGGGGGAATCAGACCCCATTGTATCCGCATCAGCAGCATTGCATGAACAATACAGCCGTAATATGAGCAAATGCTGACTCCTCTTCAGACGCTCCTGATGATGAAGAACAATTGTAGTGTGGGATGTTGGAGAGTGGTTGAGACAATTGTACTCTCACTCTTTTAAAAGTAAAGTAAAATGAGAGTGTACAAACCTGATACTCTTTCCCACGTTATTGCTACCATCTGTGATTACTGAAACTACGAAAGCTTTAAAGTAATCACACTTTACGTTATTTCTGGCACTTCTTTACGTTCTTCAGATAAGCCTGAGCATGAAATGAAGCTGGTCTGCTTTGGTTTTGAGATGCAAGGCAACACTGCTGTCTGTCCTTCCACAGCGACAAGAGAATATTTCAACTTTTAAAACCCAGGGTTCGATATTTGTGCCTGTTCCGTTCACAACGCACTCACTGTTTTGTATGGGCTTTTCACTGGAACTCAGCATTGAAGCTAAGCTATTTATCACCATCCTCTTTTAAAATGACCAGTCTACCCACAGTCTCATTTTTCCTTACCATTTATTGGTGTTGAGAGGTCGTTCCTCTCGCATGACAACAAAGTGTTTGAGCAACATTGGTCCCTTACTTGCAAACACACGTGCATACACATACATCCTTAAAGAAAAACCTGTGTGTCAAGTAACACTTCACTTATATTGCAATATTTTAACCTGGTACCTGTTGTTGCTACAGCAGCATTCAGTGTTTCGGTGGGCTGCCTTTGATGCAAGTAGGTTACTATGGGTTATGTGTGAATACAAAAGTGTGGTTTGTGTGTGTGTGTGTGTGTGAGTGAGTGTTTTGTGGGTGAGAGTTTTGGGGTGTTTGCATGTGCGAGTTTCTTTTACTGACGCGTGTATGTGAGTTTTTACAACTCACCTTGAGTCTTGTCTCTGGAAGTTCATGGTTATATATCAAACCAGTTAGAACACTGCTTTCTTTCCTCTCCTCCTATAGTACTTGTTACCCTTTGTCATTAAGAGTTTTGTTGTTATATCTAAATGTGAAAAATGAATAAAGTCATAACTTGCTCTTGCTCTCTCGTGTCCGTAGGCTGCCGCTGCCCGCAGGTACCACAGCGCTGCTCAGCACCGGGCCCCGGCTCCGACCCTGCTTCCAAAGGCAACTCCAAGCAATCAGCACATTTCGGTTTTATTACGGTTACTTTTGTGCCCCTTTGCGTTCCCCGCATCCTCTAGGAAACAGCTGGGCTTTGTGGCATTTCCATCCAGGATGAAGCTCAGCCTTTTCTCATGACGAAGCCGGATACGCTCTGGTTTAGCTTGCTGACAGGAGCCGGCGGCCCAGTGCCCAAGCCCTTCGCCCCACCGCCCCGCTCCTCTCCCTTGCTGTCTCTGCTGGGGATTTGGGCCCGGTTTC